AAGAGAAATACCTAATTAAGCATTCCATCACAAAAGGAGAAACTGTCTTGCTAAGATCAATGAGTAAATTTACCCCACCAAATAACTTTCTAAATATTTAGTTTGAATGTTTCCTAAGTTTTTAATGTTATTACTGGCAAAATTAAAGACTAAAATAATTTATCTACAGATACTTAAGAAGTAGAACATAAAACTCATGGATTAATAGAATTGAAAAATCAATATTTTCATTTCCTATATTATTGAGTACATCAATTTAATTCAAGAATGCCACAGTGTTTATTTCTAAGGTAATAAATTTGTTTTCTGTGAAACCAAAAAAAAAAAAAAAACCAACCTACAACTTTCATCAAGTTATCTGGCCTTGAAATAAATAAGATTAAAAACATGTGCCATGTGTCAAGAAAATTAATTTACTATGAGGGTTTACACCTCAAAAAAACTCCTAAAGTTTTCATTTGTAAGTTGGCTAGTAATAGCAACTATAATATTCCTAATTATAATCACTTAAAGAGTTTAAACAACTTACTTCTGACATTTCCTAAAAATAATTTTACACAGAAATAAAACCAGAGTTAGAATAACACTGAGTGAGAAAGAAAAATAATGGTCGGCTGACTTCATGTTTTGAAAAATATGATATCCATTTTCCATCCCATCTTCTGTCTTTGAAGTTGTCTAAACTATAGAGCAAACCACTCAAGAAAGTTAACTAACCAAATCTGTTCAGAACTACATTATAAACAACTCTAAAATAACTCTGCATTTATCTAATACTTGACTGAGAAAACACAACACAAATTTAAGGAATATCGTTAAAAATACACATTTTTACGCATGACCATGTTATATTATTAACAGACTCAGTCCCTCAAAATTATAAAATATGCTTTCCTGGCAAAGTTGGGTCACTCCACACTCTATCAAATATTAGAAAGAAACTTTCCACTCCTCTGAGGTGTAACTGATAATAGCACTGACTAATCGCCCCACACCCACACTCTTCCAGAGGTACTTGCATTTTTACAGAGACTCAAGTCTAAGGAAAGAACGAACTTTTTCTGGAAAAAAGCCTGTTAGACGGCAACTGTTTTAGGCTTTTCAGGCCAGGCTGTCTCTGTCAACTCAATTCAGAGTCTGTCATGTGAAAGCAGCCACCAACAATACGTAAGGCCTAAGGCTGGCTGTGCTCCAATAAAACTTTATACACCAACGACAGGCTGTGGGCCAAGCATGCTCACCTCTGTGTAGGCAGGGGATTAAATTTTCAAGTTTGCTGGCTATGTCTCTATGACATGAAGGAATTCACTTCGCTCCTTTTGGTACTTCCTTCCTCTACTCAGGAGTCCAAACTAGATCAGGGATTTTCACCATGTTTTAGTGGTGAATCTCCTTTTGCTAATAAAGATAAAAGTATGCAGGTCAGGCTAGCTGTCCACGCCTCCCTAGAGGGCACCGGGAAGCTTCTGGGGCCAGCTACAGGTCCGTGAAACAACATGAAATCCACTGGCCAGCTGATCTCTAAGGTCCATTCAATACCAAGAACCAATGTTGCCATATCTGTCTTCCTCAGCGTCCTACAGGCATCGTGAAAAGGCGAGGGAAGCATTCTATGGATTAGGGGCCTTTGGGAGACTCCAGAAATCACACTGTCTCCTTCAATAAAGAAGAGCAGTTAGAAATCAAAATTAAAAAATAAAACAGGTGAAAAGTAGAAGACAATGGACATTTTAATGATGTTGATTCTACCAATCCATGAACATGGTATGTTCTTCCATTTGTTTATGTCTTCCTCTATCTCTTTTTCCAATGTCCTGTAGTTTTCCAAGTACAGGTCTTTTACCTCCTTCGTTTATTCCTAGGTTTCTTAATTTTTTGGTGCAACAGTAAATGGGATTGTGGTTTTTTTTTTCATTTCTCTTTCTGTGAGTTCATTATTGGTATATAAAAAGGCCATATGCCGAAACCGGTTTGGCTCAGTGGATAGAGCGTCAGCCTGCGGA